CATTCGCAGAGAGGCTTTATCCCCAAGAGGAATTTCGGGGTCAACATCCTCGAGCTTGACGTAGCCGCTCGTACTTACTCCAATTCGCCAACTGCGAGCTCAGACCTCCCCGCGCTGGTTGCCCTGGACTTCGGCGCGGCCTTCCTTGTTTTGGCTTAGTCTTTCGTGGTGATGGTCTTTCGGCAAAGGCTGGCTCCCCTCGCCTTCATGGCGATGCTTGAGATGCTTAGATGCTACCGTGATAAAGCATGGGCTCCCTACCTTTGCTTGGCGCATCTCTTCTGGCATCATCCAGGGTTGCTCGCTTAGTGGTTCGATCTACGCGGCTGTGACGGCCTGCTTCCTCGTTGATCTGCAAGGAAGGTTGGAAGGCCCTCGTCTCGGTCTGGCACGTGCATGCGCTGACGACATTGGCTGCGTGGTCAGAAGGCTGCAGGCACTACGCATCCTTGCGGAGGTGATGCAGGCGGCGGAGAAGATCGCTACCCTGGCGCTCAAGCTCACCAAATGCATGGTAGTGCCGCTTCACGCGCCGTTCTCGAGGCAGCTCGCTGACTCTGTTCGCGACTCAATCCGTGAAGTTGCCCCATTCTTTGCCAACGTTCATGGGGTAAGTTCACTTATTTATCTCGGTCTCGTCCTGGGCCCTGCTGCAGATGAGAGCTCGTGCTGGCTGGCGCCCTCGATCAAAGTCAAGCTGAGATCAAAGCTAGTTGGTGGGAGCCCACTCGCGGTCTCGCAGCTGGCCGTCCACTACACCACCAGAATTGCCCCTGTGCTCTCCTATGTCGCACAGTTCCGCATGCTGCCGCGGTGGCTCATCCGAGAGGAGCTGGTTGCTCTCTCCAGGACGTTCAGGATCCCCCTCGGCCCCTTCAACATTGCGTCTTGGCTACAACTCCGCAGTGAGGGTGGGCTCTCCATCCCCTCATGGCTAGCTATGAGCATTGGGGCTTTGGGTCGGACAACGCACTCTACGCTTCCCGGATTTCAAAGGCTGCATGATTGGATGTACCGCCAACACCTTCTGCTGGGCGGTCTTCGAGCACTTTCCCAAACTGTTGAGGTTGGGCGGCGCCCATGTCGGCATTTCTGGAAATCTGAAGCATTCGTGGAAACGCTGGCCAGAGTCAGGGACTGTTCTACAAGCCGATTGTTTCCTGATTATTCGCACGAACATCTTGCTGCCACTGGCGTAGAGGCTGAACGCTGGCGAGCTGAATATACCAAGTCGGTGGGCTTTCAGAGTTGCGTCACCCTGCTGATCAAGAAGCACCCGTGCCCTCAACCACTTTGGCATTTTTCCCGAGAAAAGGCTCAGTCGTCGTTATCCGGAGCTTGGTGTAATTGGTGGACACATGGTTCCCGCAAATAGATGGGAGCACATTATCAAATATAAATACCTCCGTGGATGCTCAATGCCCTGGGCGTTTGCCTACATCAAGACGGTTGCCAACGGCTGGGCGACCTCGCACAGGATACTGCAGCCGCACGGGCGCCTTTCTTGCCGATTTGGGTGTCATCGTGAACCCGATGCTGTACACCACTACCTACAGTGCCGCCCATCTCGCCTGCTTCTTGAGCAGGAGTTTGGCCACTCGCGCCCTTCTTCACCGTTGGAGCGTCTCGGCTTATTGGGCTCGGCTGTCGAACTGGACAGGGTAATCTTTGACATCGTGGTGATGTACTACACTTACGTTGGTGCTGCCCACTCATCCGCCACCCACCTTTGGCCAAAAGGGGCAGCACGCTCGCTTGTCAAAGCAGCCATTCGTTCGGCGCAGCTTGGAGCTACAGCTTCTTCAAGAGCTCCAGTCGGTGGACAAACTATCGCAAGTTATCAGAGCATTATGATAAACAGCGTGCCACTTAGGATCAGGTTCCATCGATCTCTGAGGACCCCCCCCCCCCCCATCCCCACATTTCAATGTTGACCTGCATTATTTTGTCCGCCCGGACTTGGGGTGCTCGCTTGGCGCCAACATTGAGATGTAGGGGGCGGGGATTGTTCGTCGAGGTGGCGCCGCAATGTAAGTGCAGCCGCGCGCATTCAGGAGCAACTTGCAAAATTTCGTCGCCCCACCGTCCCCTATGGGCACGGCGCGCTGGACAGGAGCGTTCTGACAAAAGAAATGCACCATCTTGCTCCTCATCGTCCTCCTCATCTTCTTCTTCGTCTTCACCTGGTTCGCTCCCCCCGCCTTCGAGCGAGTTGTCCTGCTCCCCGCCATCGATGCCAACTCTCGACATCATTGAAGGCGCCTTCGCTCTCGCGGAGAGCTTGTCCTCATCACCTGCTTCACCGAGGTCAACACCGCCATCCTCTTGCTGTCGACCATCAACACCACCGTCGCCTTATGCTGCTGCTACTTCGTCTGGTACTGCGGCGTCTCTTGGCTTTCCCACTGTCACTGGTGCGGGACAGGTGGTGCATGGGATGCAGGAGGGATCCGAGCCACTGGGTAGCGAAGCTTGGCAGTCCGCTTCCCGTTGCCCAGCGACTCCGATACGCAGTATGTCACGTCCGCAGAGCGTTGCGGCTCAAGTTGGGGTTCCCAACGACATGCCATCCATGATCGTCTTCACGCTGGGGCTCATCTGTCAGCCGCTGGCTGCCGCCCATGGGGACATAACCAGCACTTCCTATACAACTACGACGAGTACGTCGATTCCATCGCCATCTTTATTGGCCTCGTCGGCCAGCCGCACTGACCTTGTGGGTGGTGCTTCTAGCCACTTTGAAGGGCTAGCAGGGGACAGCGAGGGCGCTATCCAGATTGCAGCTACGATTAACGAGGACGATCTCCCTGCGCTGTTTGAATCCTTTCTCGCCGCGCCCGAAGAGTCTGACCTGCAGATTGCAGAGCGGCGCAAGACTCTGGTGGACAGGATCGAAGCTTGGGCCTGCGTTTGGATACCATGGCTGCTGATCAGCGCATGCGGAACGGACTACAAACAATGGATGCAATGGTGTCCTGACTACGTGGAGAACGTGCTCAGGTATGATGGCCTTCAAATCCTGGGCGGTGGTTGGGCGAATCGGAGACAACTCGCGCTGGACTGGTGTCTCGGCGGGTGGTGCAGCAGCGCCTTTGCACGTGAGCAACTCCGCCGTTTCCTTCGTGACCCCTGGCCCGAGCATGATGGGAAGCGGGTGCGGCGCCTCCGTCTTCTGGCCCTTGCACACCTTCAGAAGCTCGGTTGGCGGGCCGACCCGAATCGCATGTCCGCTGCCAACCGCGACGACTACCTGATTCAGAATACGGCGGTCTCCCCGATTACACCGCCTGAGGCATTACCGCCCCTCCTCATTCTCCCGAACTTGCTCGCGGGCCAGGCGAGAGGACAGCTTTCTCTGTGCGAGGTTCCCCCTGATGAAGATTTTGACAGTGTCGACCACGAAGGTGTCTCGAATCCCTCTCCGATGGACCTCGAGGATATGATCTCGGACGCGGGTGGCGGCGACAATCTGACGGACCACGATTTTGACGCTGAGATGCAATATGAAGAACCTGGACCACATCATTGGCCAGTACTCAGCGATGAGGAATTGGATCGCCAACTCCAGCGTATTCTACGACGTTTTCGTGATAGCCCTGATGAGGCTGTGACCCGCGACCCCACAGCCAGCTCTTCGCGGCGCGCCCCGCGCCCTGCGTCACCCACGACGATGCTGGTCCAGCGAAAGAGCAGCTCGTCGGCTGAGTCGACAAGCGCTGATGACGACTTCGATGCGACGATGGCTGCACACGGCTTTGGGGCCATCTACCCTGATGGCTCGTTGGGTGGAGCTCTGATTGTGACCCACAATACACCTCCTGACCTCGCGCCTCAATATGTGGACCGTCCTCCGTCTGATCGTGACGCCGTAGATCGTGTACACCGAGTTCCACGTGTGCAGGGTGACCCACCTGATGATCGACCTCCACATGGACCTCATGATGCTGATGATGCAGCTCCTGGCGAAGAAGATCAAGCGGTGGATGCTCCACATTCACCACATGTACCCGCCCCTGGCGATCCGCATGATGCTGCGCATGACTCTCTGTTGGGAGCTGAGCTGGCGGACCCTGGCATGGTAAAGAATCTGTATGGTGCAGCATTCCCCGAGTACGAGTCTGCTGGCATGCTCGAGATCGGCGTCGTCGAGTCCACCCTGGCGCACTCGGCGCGCCCCTCGACTCGGTCGACCTGTCCCCCGCCAGCGACGCCCTGGACCTCCTCAACACGAGCCTGGGAGGCTCGGCGCGCAATCTGCGGCCCTAGGCGGGACCGAACTCTCCTGGGACGCTCGCTCCTCCTCGTCCTCCTCCTCCTCCTCCTCCTCCTCCTCCCCCTTTTCTGCTCATCGTCCTCCCCGCCGTTCTCCTTGTCCTCATCCTCGTCCTCCTCCTCGTCGTCGTCGTCCTATTCCTCCTGCTGTTCATCCCCCTCCATTCTTTCCTTCCTCATTATCCCCCCCTTTCTTCCTCCACCTCCTCCCTCTCCTGCTGCTCCTCCTTCTCCTCTTTTTCTCTCCTGATGTTCCTCCTCCTCCTGTTTCTCGTCCTCCTCCGCTTCCTCCTCATCCTCCGCGCCCTCATCCTCATCCTCTTTCCCCACGCCGATCCCCGATTTTGGCCAGGCCCACCTTGGCCCGAGGAGCGATGTATCTAGACAGCGCTTCGACGAGACGGAGGTTTCAAGGCTTTCGGCCTCGCCCGTAGATGCCAGATGGGCGTTGTCGCGGGGCCCGGCCCCGTGACCGGCGGTCCTGGCCAGGATCGGCGGCGTGTGACCCAGAGGCGGCGTTCATTAAACTACTCTTCGTCCCGAGGGGACCGGGGGTGGGGATGATCGAGGATCGAGGCTCGAGGTGTTCACGGATCGGGGGCCGAGGTTCCCGCGTCGAAGCAGGTGCAGATCGAGGACCCAGGTTCGCGGATCGAGGGTCCAGTCTTTTGTTCTTCTGGGCACCTCGGGAGGCTTTGTTTGAAGATATCCGGCCCCCGCCCGGCAAGGAGGACGACAAGCAGGAGGTTCCCTCCAAGCCTCCGCGGACCCGGTGCGCCCCAGGCGGGCAGCCGCTACCGTTAAGGGAATATGCCAGGGGGTTGCATCCTTGATGTGGTCGGGCACACGAGGATGAGGAGGACGAGGAGGAAGCGGATGTGGTGGAGGATGGTTCGCACCAGGCCGCGTCGAAACGCGCCACCGAACCCCGGCCGTCCTGGAGTCCGCCAGGAACGCCCTAGACACAACAAGTACCAGGGAAGACGCCATGGAGCTTATGCCTTGTTTTTCAGAGAGCCGAGTGCATTGTTCTAGGAGTCGCCCATTCTTCCATTGAAGACATCCGGCGAGATGTAAATGCCTCCCCGCCGAAAGCCTCAAAGTTGGGCCAGGCCACTTCTCGAGCGCACAGCAGTGAGAGTCCAGCCAACACGTTCTCTCCGCATCAGACGCTGCACCCCTGCACACTTCGCTGGATTGCTCAAGGGCACGGACGCTGGAATTCTGGAAAGACCACCCTTCCTATCTGCCATTTGCGGCGGGCGGCGAGTGCCATTCGGTGGGAGAGGGTGCCTCCCATCCAGAGCACATTAAACACTGAGTGACAGCTGTGAGGGAGCCACACACATGCCTAGCCCCATGCTAGTTTCGGGGCGCTGGAACTGCTCCACAGTGCCCTTCCAGACTGGAAACGGCTTCCCCAACAGGAGGAAAATCCAGCCAGCATCTGAACCACTACTGTTCGAGGCACTGCTTAGGCAAAACGTAGCCAGGACAGGACCCTGGGGCCCGAAGGTCCAGGAGGGTATATAGTCAGGCCTCCCCTCCCGACGATGTCCCGAGACAGCCCCGACACGCCTATGCATCAACTGCAACGTGGACGCAGGGAGACCCTGGATCTGGCGGCCAAACCTAGCACCCGCCTGAGGCCCGCCAGCTCCACCTTCATAGAAGTGTGAAGCCTCCTAGATGAGAGAGCAAACTTCTCGAGAGACAAACTCTGTTTCTTAGTGTGCGTAAGTATCTTGACTCTTGCTGATCTAGCTAACCTCCTACCGTATCCGAGACCGCACGCTAGATGCGGCACCTACAATGCTCACTGGATGCTTATACCTCGCTTCTTCAAGTCTGCAACTGTCGCTCTAGCATCCAGCGCTCCCGAGCATGACACAACACTTTCACTCGCAAGCTGTAGGTGCGCATCGTCCAGCATGTCATGGGCTGCCGCGATACCCTCGATGAGGGCGCCCTGCGCATGCCTGCTAGATCCCGCCGCCGATGAAAATACGTCGTCGATCCATAATCGTTCGCTGAGAGTCGGATGCGTGTCCGCGGGGCGTTCCATTACCAGGCTGTTGAGACATCTCGCAACATTCGTCCCACGTCTCAGCCCTTGAACAATCCCTCTTGTCGCTTGAACGGGGAGAGACACCGCTTCGCCCGGATCCAGCATCCGAGGGCTCGTGCGTATCTGAAGTCCGCGCCCGAGCATAGCCGCTGGAAAACCGTACTTGGTCGCGCCCTTGATTGAGGTGCTCCATTCCAGAGCGTCGTGGAAGCTCTGGACGTCTGACAGTGCGTGCCCGTTCGCCATCCCGAGCTTGGTGCACAGTTCCTCGTCCATCGCACGCGCGGGCGCTTCCGTGGTCGCAGACTTGCTCATGGCGGCCGCGTCCCACGACGGCTGCTCGTCAAGGGGTCATTGCCGCACGGTGGGGCTCCCTGGCAAGTGGCAGCACCTTGCACATCTCATACATCAGACCCATGACACGGTGTTGCTCTGCCGTCTTCTGTGGGGATATCCTCCCCAGGACTGCCGGGAGATGCCCGGGCCATGCTTGATTCGACACTGCTCGAACATGTAGGGAATCTGTGCCAGTTCGTCGAGCGCCTGATCTGGGGGTCGCTCGAGGTCGAGCGGGAATCGGCGATCGATGCCTTGCCCCGCCGTCGCCTTCATGGCCCTGAGGGCCCTGCTGAAATCATGAAGCGTGAGAGGCTCCAGCATATCCGCCCTCGCTCTCGCACGACTATCGTCAACCATCATCTGAACGTCACTGGTGTCCATGGGCGCCGAGGATGTCCTCAGAGAATTCCACTTGGATGCCCGATGGTGCACTGCGTGAATCAGTGGCACAGTGCGCGATCACCCACCACCGCATCATCTGGCGCCAAAGGCACCTCGGTGGTAGCACGAAACGACGCGCCAGAAAACTCATCATCACCCACCCAAGCTTGTCGCCGTTTTTGGATTCATTGTTTCGCGGGCCCCTGCCCCCCCTCCCTCTCCCCCCCCCTTGTAGACCAGATCTCGGTTGCTGTTGGCTACTGGTCAGGGCCCCTTCCCCCCCAGTCTGCTGGCGCGCCCGGCAGAAGCAGATCGATTCAGCGCGGGCTCAGACCCAGGACCCCTCACATGTGCCAAGTGTCGGAACCCAGAATGAGAAGACGCCCGCCTTTGGAATCAGCCAGAGATTTGAAAGTAGCACGTCCTTGCGTACCTTTGCAGCATGCCCCTTCAAGTTGTGGATACCCGATGTCCATCCAGCACCTCAGGATCTGATGCCACGTGTTCCACGTAGTCGCACTCGTTGCGATCCCTCGCGCTGGGGGATACCTGAGCCTGACCAGGGGTGTTTAAAACAAGCAGACAATTATCGGGCTTAGCAGTGCTGACCACATCGCCGAAAAGAATCAGCACTCGCTCGCGCTGCTTTTCTTTAGCCAGCCCTTGACGAAATGCCAGCTCCCTCTCAGACTTGGAAGACTAAGACCCAGGCTTTCCCTGCGCCGGAGGTTTAACAATGTAAGGAAAACGCTCGGGAATCATCAGGACCCCAGCTATGAGTGGGGCCACCGATCACCTAAGCTGGATAACCAAAGCAGAGTGAGGCTTCCAAGGCATATCCAGGATCGCATGCACAGCTAACATGTACGGAACCGCGGACTCAGAGGCTAGAGCACAATCGATGTGCGAGGTTCCGCTGGACCCAATGCAAGTTTGTTTTACGTGGGACTGCATCACCGACGCTCCGAGATTCCGCGCAAAACCCGAACGCTGGAGCTCGAAAGGAGCGGGGCTTACATCCCTGAGCACAACCCCAGGCAGGCGGAAGGCCTGTAGCAGGGCCCCGAGACGCGCGAACTTAGCAAGATGTCCTTGGCCAAATTCGCATCCATTCACTCCGTAAAACGTGACAACAACAATGCTACAGCCCTGCATCTGGGCAACTGGCAAACGTCCACCCACCATGTTCTGGCCTACACCAAACAGCTCTCTGAAGTTACCGCGAGTAAGTTGATGAGTGGCACGATAGCCTTGTGACAGAAACATCTCACCACCTTCGTTCGCACGAGTCTGTCCAGCTTTTTCGCGCACCTTGCCGATGTAAGCCGAGCTGGGTTGACGACGCACTTCCACTTGTGCTGTCTCGCCTTTTGTGACGAACCGAGAAGACTTGGCATTACTGATATGGTTCTCACATACGGCAATATGCTGGAGAGCCTTGCTCCCCGCAAGGTGCATCATATAATCCCAAGCTTTGCGACCCGAGCAAGAAATATCGCCGCTGAAGAACACCTGCACCGCTGCGCCTTCCCGACTTGAAGATGCTGAGTCGCAGGTGGAAGTAGACTCGACGGTAGAAGGGAGAGGCGCCGTAGGAGAGGGCGTTCTTGACCCCCCAGGGGCCCCTGACGTACCGGCAGCTGTTCCCGAGCTCAGGGCAGAAGATGCCGAGGCTGAAAGTTCTGCAGGACTCGAGCACGCACTGGTCGCACCCGCTCCCCCCGTAGTCGAAGCTGCTGGACCAGGGGACGTGGTGCCAGCAGCGCTTGGCGATCGCTTGCTGCCCGAGCCCTTGCCGGAGCTCTTGGCCGCCGCCGCCACCAGAGTGGGCTGCCGCCGTGGCCGCCGCAGCAGCCGCCGCCTCCTTAGCCTTAAGTCAGGCGTGTCCCTGCACAGGAGGAATATTCGAACATACCAAAACACTAGTACGGGGACGATTTTTTCATATTCATGAATATTTTTGCACATTTTCTGACTATTTTTAATTTCTCCTCCAAAGTCCGCCTGTAGGAGGACATAACCGACCTAATCTTAGGCTCGCGAGTGCGATTGACCTCCGCGTCGATGCGCACCTGGCTGTCGGCAACGTCGTCAGTGGCCGCTGGTGCAGGTGTCGCAGGAGCCGCGGAACCTGCCGTGCAGACCGCCCCCGTCCGCGTCGAGGGCGCTGCCGCGCCTGAGCCACCTGCGCCTGCTTCGCCTCCACCCCTGGGGCTTGCCGTCGTCGACCTGCCTCTTCTTGACGGCCTTCTCAGGAGTGTTTCCAAGCGTAGGGCAACGAAGAATGGCATAAACATAACAACTCGGAGGTCCGCGCGGATTTCTCGGATCCGCGCTGGGGCCCCCTAGCGGCGCCTCCGTCGCCGCCCCTGGCGCGCGGAGCGCGCCAGGGAGGGGGGTCCAGCGCAGGTCCAAGAAATCCGCGCGGAGCGCCAAAAGCTTATTATGTTTATGCAGTTCTCTCTTTATTCTCTGGAGTGCTTCCACACGATCCCGCCAAGCAGAGATCTGATCACCCTGGGTGCTCCACAAGGTCCTGGCCGTCTGCAAGCCCTTCTCTCGAGTTGACTTTATTCGTCCATCTATGCCTTCTCGACGACAAGATGCCCACGGTGCAGCGCCTGGGAGAAATCCTCATCTCATTGCAATCCATTTTGCTCGGATTATTTGTCGGCCTGCGGTGGAACTGCTGCCGCCTCCGCGCCGATGCCAACCTCTCCTCGGCAAGCGCACGGGCGGCCAGCCTCTTCGCGATCTCCGTCTCGACCAACAACTGCACTGCTCCCCTGCCTCTTTCTGCCCCGCTTTCGATAACAATTTTCTGTTGCGTCGAACTGCCGCCATCGCTTGATCATGCTTCGAACTTGCAGCTTTCACCCTCCGCGCCGCCTCTGCTGCCGACATAGGCGGTGGCGGCTGGGGCGCTGCCGATTGTTGTTGAATGGCAGCCTGAAGAGCAACACGGAGAAGAGGATCCGTCGTCACGCCCAAGGCT